CATGCATTCCATTGTATTTGCCACCGCATCTTCTTCTCTCTGTCTTCTCCTAGCCTAGGTACGAATATTCTGTGTTCTCTGTCTTCTCTAGAAGATCAGGCTTATATCTGTTAAAGTTTGGTTTTTGACCTTTTTTATAGTGGTGGGTCGTGGGTGAGTGAAATTCTTTGTTTAATGTTTTCCTTATGGCTATTGACTTTGTACTTTCGTTGTAGTTGGTTCTTGAATCTTCCCTGACGCTTCGTTAGCTTGAGATCATCATCATCATCTCTAATGGCTGATCATGTTCTGACCCGTGTTCATACGCTCCGCGAGCGCCTTGATTCCACCTTGGCTGCTCACCGCAATGAGATTTTGCTGTTCATGTCAAAGTAACGAATTTTGTTTTATTGGGTTTGTTGCAATTGAAGAATAGCTGATCGTATATGGGCGCTTAGAATTAATGTTTGGGTTTTTGTTTTGCAGGATTGAGAGCCACGGGAAAGGAATCCTGAAGCCTCACCAGCTCCTGGCTGAGTTTGAGGGGATCTTTAAGGATGAAAAGGACAAACTGAGCAATAATGCCTTTCAAGAAATCTTGAAATCCACACAGGTGAGTCTGATTTTTTAAAATTGTTCTTGGTAACTTATGAAGCTATCGTCTTTTTGAAGAAACTGTATATGTAATGGGATTTAAAACATGATTAGGAAGCGATAGTTTTGCCCCCATGGGTTGCGCTCGCCATCCGTTTGAGGCCCGGTGTGTGGGAATATGTTCGTGTCAATGTTAGTGCTTTAGTTGTGGAGGAGCTGACTGTTCCTAAGTATCTGCAACTCAAAGAAGAGCTTGTTGATGGACCGTAAGTTCTTCTTGTCTTTTACACTGTTATAATAATTACTATTTAGTTTATATATGATGTGATGTGATTTTCTTCTTAGTAATTATGTTGTATTGTTTGTTTTTGTCCAGGTCTGATGGTAACTTTGTTCTTGAATTGGATTTTGAGCCATTCACTGCTTCCCTTCCCAAGCCCACCCTTACCAAGTCCATTGGCAATGGAGTTGAGTTCCTAAACAGACACCTCTCCGCAAAAATGTTCCATGACAAGGAGAGCATGGTTCCTCTCCTTGATTTTCTCCGAGTTCACCAATACAATGGGAAGGTAACTTTTTTTTCCCTTCTCCTTTCTGATTTCTCTCTTTCAGTTTGTTCTTGAATTGAACTTCACCCTGTGTTTGTCTCGCAGACCATGATGCTAAACGACAGAGTCGTAGACCTAAACACTCTCCAAAATGTCCTAAGAAAGGCAGAGGAATATCTAACCACACTCCCTCTAAAAACTCCATTCTCTGAATTTGAAAACAAGTTCCAGGATATTGGATTGGAGAGGGGTTGGGGTGACACTGCCGAGCGTGTGTTAGAGATGATCAGAATGCTTTTGGATCTCCTGGAGGCTCCTGATTCGTGCACGCTGGAGAGGTTTTTGGGGAAGATTCCAATGGTTTTCAATGTCGTTATCCTTTCGCCACACGGTTATTTTGCCCAGGAAAATGTTTTGGGATATCCTGACACTGGCGGTCAGGTTGTTTACATTCTTGATCAAGTTCCTGCATTAGAGAGGGAGATGCTTAAACGCATCAAGGAGCAAGGACTTGATATTATCCCAAGAATCCTCATTGTAAATATCGTATCCCTTTTTTTTAAAGTTAGTTTGAGAATTGTTTTTGTCTTGTGATTTTAAGGGCTTGATGTTGATTCTGTTTGCCAGATAACTAGGCTGCTACCAGATGCAGTTGGAACCACTTGTGGTCAACGCCTAGAGAAAGTGTTTGGGGCAGAACACTCCCACATTTTGAGGGTTCCCTTTAGGGATGAGAAGGGCAGCGTTGTACGTAAATGGATCTCTCGTTTTGAAGTCTGGCCATACATGGAGACCTTCATTGAGGTAAATAAAACTACCCCGGAGTAACATATTTCTCTCCTTTTCAATCAAATGATATTGTTGTTGTTTTCCTAATGCTTCTACATTTAATATGTTAGGATGTTGCGAAAGAAATTACTGCTGAGTTACAGGCCAAACCAGATTTGATCATAGGGAATTACAGTGAGGGTAACCTTGCTGCCTCCATACTGGCTCACAAGCTAGGCGTGACACAGGTCCAAACCATGATTTGTTACTTTAGAAATACAATATGATTCTCACCTTTATTAGTTTGAGAAGGAATTAAAGTTCTTGCGCAATGTCTTTGCTGTGTGCAGTGCACAATTGCTCATGCATTGGAGAAGACGAAATACCCAGACTCAGATATTTACTGGAAAAAGTTTGATGAAAAATATCACTTCTCATCCCAGTTCACAGCTGATCTCATCGCTATGAACCACACTGATTTCATCATCACCAGCACCTTCCAAGAGATTGCAGGAAGGTATATAATTTCTTTTCATCCTAGTCTAGTTGAGATTATCAGATGATTTTATTACGGTCACATGTAGTGTTTTCTAAATTCTTTCGTTTTGCCTTTTCTGGTTTTGGTTTTTCCAGCAAGGACAGTGTTGGACAGTACGAAAGCCATATGGCTTTCACAATGCCTGGATTGTACAGAGTTGTTCATGGCATAGACGTTTTTGACCCCAAATTCAACATTGTATCCCCAGGAGCCGATATGAACCTGTATTTCCCTTACTATGAGAAGGAAAAGAGACTCACCGCCCTTCATCCCGAAATTGAAGATCTCCTATTTAGCAATGTGGAGAACGAAGAGCACTTATGTGTTCTGAAGGACAGGAAGAAGCCCATCTTATTCACCATGGCCAGACTTGACCGTGTGAAGAACCTGACAGGCCTTGTTGAATGGTATGCAAAGAACCCAAAGCTGAGGGAAATGGTAAATCTGGTTGTGGTTGGTGGGGACAGGAGGAAGGAATCAAAGGATTTGGAAGAGCAAGCAGAAATGAAAAAGATGCATGAGCTGATAAAGACCCACAACTTGAATGGTCAGTTCAGGTGGATCTCTTCTCAGATGAACCGTGTCAGGAACGGCGAGCTGTACAGGTACATCTGCGACACAAGAGGGGTTTTCGTGCAGCCGGCTTTCTATGAGGCTTTCGGGCTGACTGTGGTTGAGGCCATGACTTGTGGTTTGCCTACTTTTGCAACCAACCATGGTGGGCCAGCCGAAATCATCGTCCACGGAAAGTCTGGTTTCCACATTGACCCATACCACGGCAACCAAGCTGCCCAACTCCTAGTTGATTTCTTTGAGAAGTGTAAAGAGGACCCTTCTCATTGGGAAACCATTTCTGCTGGTGGGCTGAAGCGTATACAGGAAAAGTAAGCAGCCAAGTTCCTAACCGTACATTTATTTCACTTCTAAACAACAATAACAAGTTGTAATTTCCCCATTGTGTTGTTTCTAGGTACACTTGGCAAATCTACTCGGAGAGGTTATTGACTTTGTCGGCTGTTTATGGGTTCTGGAAATGTGTTTCGAAGCTGGATCGCCTTCAGACCCGTCGCTACATTGAGATGTTTTATGCCCTCAAATACCGCAAGATGGTCAGTTTTTTTTGTGTTTTTTTCACTTTGTCTCACTAAACTATATGCATTACTGCTCTGTGTGTTCACTAAATCCTCTTTTGAAATGATACTTCAGGCTGAAGCTGTTCCATTGGCTGAAGAGTGAAAAGGAGAGATGATAAAAGGATGGGGTGCTAGACAAAATATTTAGTTGCTTTGTTTGAATAAGAACTATGTGATTGGTTTGGTTTGGTTTAATCATTGTTTACTTCATTTCTTAATTATCAGTATTGCAGTCTCAGTTCTTTTGTTTGACATATTACTGAACAAAGAACCAAATGGCTCTGTTGCTGTTGCTTATTGAGAGAGTTTCATTAAATTTCTAAATAATGCTTCAAGTGTTTAATGCTTAAATGTTGTGTGAAAATTTGATTTTTGCATCTTTGAACTTTCTCTAGATTCGTACTCGTGCGTTGCACGATTGAATAGTTACAAAAAATAACTAGGATGACATAAATAAAATTATATAAATAATAAACTAATGGGCAAAAGAGCATAGTTACACAATAACATAGATCTGGAAAATAAGTTGTTTGCAAATAGAACACCTCTGAAGAAAGGGAGCATACATATAGGGTCCGTTTGGTATACGGAATTCATGGAATTGGAATGAAATTCCATGGGGTTTAATTCCATAGAATTGAATTCACCAATTCCAATCCATTTTTGCACTAACAATTCCACCCACATAATTTTTGTGCTACCAAACACCAAAATTAGAATTGAAGTCTTCAATTCCAATTCCATAGTTTGAATTCGGTGTACCAAACGAGACCTTAATTTAATTTTTCGCTGCTACTGAAAGAACAACATCTTCTATATGTACTTAGATTGAATGCTTTGGTTGCAGAATTGGTAGCATAAAAAATGGAGAGATTTAATCATAGAACAATCTATAGCTGGTATAAATATTTACATTGGCAGAATTCTTTGCTTATCCTGGTAAAAAAGAAACTGATCTACTACTATTTCCAAAAGAAGGGCTCAATCCGAAACATGAAGGAAAAAGAAATTAAATATTCGGGTGGGTTTGTTTTCCAACAAAATTAACTTATTAATTAAGTTACGAGTTTTTGGAATATGATACTGTGATAATAGGTGTAGGCATCTTGAAACTAAGTGCATTTCTGTGTTGTGTATGAATATGATACTTAGGAGCCAATGGACCCAGGAAGGTCAGTTCCACCTCAACAGAGAGCAACAAAGCATTCAACCTTTATCATATGGATAATGATGCGGTTGTAATCCCTGGTCATATTTTTTGGCTTAAAAATTGCTCAAACATAGGCCGAACCTGACGGTTGTTGGCTGTTTATGTTAGTTGGTTTGAATGGCTGATTGAGTTAACTGTTTTAATCGGTTATTTGTGTTAGCTGTTAAAAATTAAATGTTTAGCAACTTTAACTGTTTATAGTTAGCTGTTTGTAAGTAAAATTACATATAAGGACATCCCTCCATTTATGTTAATTTGTGTGTGATTTTTAATTTTTTTTAATTTGATAAAAGACACACATTATACAAGCAAATACTTTACATATATCTTTTTTTTGTTGGACAAAAAAGGCTACTTCGTTTTTTTTATTTAAGAAATGAGAATTTACATTTTTATTTTATATGTAGACTTTTTTGTATTTTTTTCATTTATCATTATACAAATAACAACCATGCATGATATATTTTATTTTATAGTTTTTTAAATATCATATCATAAATATATAAAAATACTCTACACCAATTATAAATTAAAAAATTAAATATATTACTCGAGACAAGCATAACAATCTGAAGTATTAAACACTTTTTGAGACGACATGAGCATTAGAAGTAACAAAAAAATAGACAAGCTATCGACTTTTTACTAATGAGATCTTCTCGTCATCAAACTAGAAGTAATATTCTTACGGATGTTTTTCATTTCCTGACTTCTCATCAGTCATCACCATCTCATTATTTGCAACATGGTTTTCAACATCTTCAAACACATCTACGGGTACAAAATCAGGGTCATCATCAACCAATTGAAAAGCTGGGTCACCAATTGAAAATCCTATAAGTCAAAACAATAAAAAAAATTAATTGACGTAACTACTAAAACATAATGCATTTTTTTACAAAACTAATAATGTATCTATCGTAGCTTAAAAACAAATCGAACCTGGATTCTTAAAGTCCACCATTCAACAAAAGCATCTATAGTCCCTTTTATATGATCCCATCACAATCTTGTAGTTCTTCTCTTAAGTTCTTTCCAAACAACCCACCTTCCTCTCAACCAATCAATCTTAGATTTCAACTTCAGTTTATCCCAAGGCAACTTAGCTTCTTTTTGGAAATCACATTCAATCTTCTTCCAAATTAACCTTTGAGATGTAACACCACCATTTCCCCCCTTACTTCTTTCAACGTGTTTAATACAAAGATCACAAAGGATGTAAACTGATTCTTTTGACCAAAAAATTCTTCCACCTTTGTTTTCATTGGTATTTTTATTCTCACTTTGAGATACTTGGATATTTTTGTTATGATAAGGGGCCATAATCTAACACTAAATAAAATTCAATGTTAAAACATTTAAATAAACTTTTTTAGTATAGGGATTGATAGATACAACTTCATTTGTATGATATCATACACAATTTCAAATCAGATGAGACGAACAACATTCATAAAAAAACTGTGGATTTATAGAGAGTAATGAATTAAAAAACTATACAATAGCAAAGATTCAAATTTTCTCTTTCTTTGATTTTAGAACTCTATAAATTGTAGAATCATAGCAAAAGAACAGAAACGCAGCAAAAAAACTGAAACACGGCAAAAAAACAGAAACACAACATAGAAAAATGAGTTTTTACCAGTACCTAATTTTTCAATCAATATATCGCAGCAAAAAAATGTCAATACATACATAATAGTTGGATCTCCATGTGAGAAGTAAGATCTATGAACCCTTTACATAATTGTGCAGCAAGAGAAGCAGAAAAAAAGTTTCTTATGTAAAGTTTCTTATGGCTATCACTAAATTTTACTGAAATTGGGAGCAAAATTTAAACACAACTAATAGAGAAACAATCAAAAAATTAAAAGAAAAACAATCAAACACAAAAATGAAAAGAAAAATCAAACCAAAACCAATGACTATTGAAGATGCAATTTTCGAAGAAAAAAAAGGATGAATGCAATTAGTTGGGAGTATTTCTTACTTTTACGATGCAGTCTCAATTTTAGAGCATTTGGAAACTAATTAAAAATTGAAATCATAGATGGCAGAGCAGGGCACAACGGCGACTGAGTTTTAAATAGTGCAGTTTGAAGCGGTTGATCATGGCGGCGGTGACGGAGATTAAAGGGACATCGACATCGATGATGGTAGAGGTCCTGTTTCAGTGGCGGTAGAGGCGCGATACCTGCTGTGGTAGGGGGCGTGGCAGGGGCTGGGTGCTGGCATTGCCGACGGCAGCATGGCACAGTTGAGCAGCCATTGATGGAAGTTTTGTATAGTTGAGCAGCATTGGCATGTCACAGTTGAGCGCGACATGTCACTATTGAGCACGAAATGACACAATTGAGCACGACATGACACGATTGAGTGGAGAAGAGGGTAATCCTATTATGGGGGTTTTATCTTTCAACTCCAACTTTGAGATTTAATCAAAATTCTATTCTTATTTTGCTCATTAACCCAAAACAGAATTGCAGATGAGACGCAGAATTGCAAAAAAAAAAAAAAAAAGCAGAATTGCAAAACAAGAGAGAAGTCGCAGCAGAATTGCAGAACTAGAGATAAATCGCAGCATTTAACTATTTAGATGTTAAAAAATTATGAAAATTTACATACCTGGTGTGTGGGGGGAAGAGAGAAATCGCAGCAGGTGCCGTGAGGGAAATCGCAAAGAGAAAGCGAGGCTAACTTCCGGTGTCGTGAGGAAAATCGCAGAGAGACGTAGCGTAAGAAAACCAAAAAAAGGGTAAGAAACAAAAAAGGGTATGAACTGCTAAATAAAATGCTGCTAGGGTTAGCGTTTCAATTTTTTGCTTTTCAGTTTCAAATGCTAATTCCAAAGGCCATTATCCAAACAATTACTTTGGCGGTTTGACTAGTTCAATTCGCCATTTATGGTCAAAGAAGCCAAATGCTAGGTGAACCGCCATTTACCAAACATGGCATAGTCACTACAAGAAATTCGCTGATTTGCAACGGATTTATTCCGTCGCAAATGCCCAATTTTCCCTCGCAACCACTGTTTGCGACGGGGTTTGCGACGAATTACGAACTATACAACGGAATATTGACCGTCGCAAACTTCCGTCGCAATTTAGAGAATTTCTTGTAGTGAGTGTCAAGAAGAGGAAGAAAAAGTAAGGTACACCTTTCGAGTGAATAAATATGTTACTCTTCGGCTACCCCTTCTTCCAATTTCCTTGAGTTAAGGATAGTTGTTCTCATTCGCAAGATATATCTCAAATTACTATACTAGCTCTTGAGGCTAAACGCACACTTTTTTAGGGGCTAGGAAAAATAAAATTTTAAAAAATGAGAATGAAGACCTTAAAAATAGATTTAAGGCTATTGAAGAGGTTAATTCAAGTGAGTCTAATTTTCCATGCTCGACTAGTGATTCTTCCAAAGATGAGATAAAACAACTTAGGAAGACTTTAGAAAAAATTAAAATTGGAGAATAACAATTTTAAGAAAATAATGTTAAGAAAATTAATTTTGTTAAAGCTAGGAATGTTGATAATAGCCAAACATAGAAATCATACTAAAAATGATTACAGACAACCTAGATTTAATAGTGTGCAATCTAGGAATTTTAAGAGGAATAGAATACATGGATAAATTATTGGACAACCAAGAAAAATGCATAATCCAAATGTTTGTTGTCACTATTGTGGGAAGTAGGACACATGACGCTGGTTTGTTATACTAAACATCGGCACTCTGGACAAAATGATAATTATTATGTTCCTAACAACCAAGGACCCAGAAGTGTTTGGGTACCTTTTTTTAGTTTTTAGATGCGCTATGAAAGGTGTGTTTGAAGACTTCAAATCCGCCCTTCGAACAAAACATGAAGATCTTAAGCGCTGTAAGAAATATCGATGAGAGGTCATAACTTTTGATGTTAAAATTGAGAGCGATAAGAGTTTATCATGTCTCCACCCATGGTAGGGGGCTTGAATCATTAGATGTTATTTTTCACAATTTAGAGGTTAGTTCTTTCATTATTATGAATCTAAAATACATATACATTAAGAACGTTGTAATGAATAATGATTGTTATATACACTTTTTTCCTTTGCATCGTTAGGGAGATCAAAAACTTGCGCAGATTAAAGATTCGAATATATGCACTTTCAAAGATTTGAAGAAAAATAATGCCTATTTACTGATGAGAGACAAAGTACTACGCAATTACCAAACAACAAAAACTACCAATCACCCTTTCATGCTACAATTCTTTAGCATGACGAAGCTTCAAAAGATTTTGGAAAACAAATTTCGCAATTTTCGTTACTACTTTATGAGATATTTTAAAATTCAGAAAATGACTTTTGGTGACAATGTACTTTTAACGGGTAAGCATCATTTAGATCATTTTCTAACATTCAAAAATGATCTTAATTTAGTAACGTAAATATGACCTGTCAGGTGTGAGACTAGTTTAAGTGAAAGGAGTGGGCATATTCATTTTTACGTAGATTTAGAAACACTCATATTATATTTATAATTTACATGTCACTAACTCATTTCTCAAAATTACAATACAAATGAAAAACATTGTTTTCTTGATGGTAATTAAAAAAATTGAAGAAAATAATTTAACGTACGATTTTTCTGAATATTTCAATATTTTACTTAACATTAATGTTGAAATATTAATTAGATTTTTTACTTTGACTTAATATTGATATAAAATAGTGTCCCTTTATCCCATTATTTTGTAACATGATTTAGTCACATGTAAATTTAAAAATAAAAAAATATAATGTGATTTATATTGATGTTAAAAAACAAGGATAATTGTGAACCACACAATTATAGCTAAATAAAATTTGGGGCCAAGAAGATACAAGAGTATACACAAAAAAAATTTTATAACTTGGCACGAGAAAAAAAATAAAACTTACATACGATATATTAAAAATTAATTTTATTAAATAAAAAATTATTTAGAGTAAGAATATTGTAATTAATCTCGAGACAGAGAGAGTATTCTGATTAAAACTATAAATTTTAAAAATAAATTTTCATTTTAAGAAAAATGTAAAGCTATTGAGTCAAGAATATGATAGTAAGATACTCCCTATATTGATTTGAGTATGCCAGGAAGTGAAGGAAAATTAAATGGGAAAAAGATTAAATTAGGAGTAAAACATAGAGAAAGTATCAAAATAGGAGCTCCATGTTTTTATTTCCAAAATAGGAGTTACAATGCCAATAGTGTCAACATATAATACCAAAAAAACATTGTGTAATGCCAATATACAGTGCCACATTGTCGCAATGCAAACTCCTATTTTGAGGATAAAAAACATGGAAGTCCTATTTTAATGATAAGAGTTATGTTTTACTCCTATTATAGGTGATTTCTTAAATTAAATTTCTACCAAAAAAGGCAATAGTGTTTATTCAAACGAAAAAGAAAAAGAAAAAGAAAACAACAACAACCCAGTTGAATCCCACTACAGTAGGGTCTGGGGAAGGTGTGTGTACGCAGACCTTGCCCCTACTCGGAAGTAGGGAGGCTGTTTCTAAGAGACCCCCAGCTCCAACCTGCACAAAAAGAATGATAGGGCACAATAAAAACAGATAAAACACCAAGTACAATGGAATGAAAGTCCTGCAAGCAAAAGCAAAGGAGAAAAAGAAAAAGAAAAGTGGAGTGGTTTATTAACAACAAACTACACCAAAAAATGTAATCCAAATTATATCCTTAAGTGATACACTAGCATTTTAACGATTTATAATGACACAAAATAATAGTTCAATCAAAAATATTAATACTAATATTTTATATCATTGTAAATCATCATACTAGTATTACACTCACATAAACTGTTGGTGCATCCTTTGGAGTATAAAGTGATATACTCCGTACAATTTTTGGTACATATCTATTATATATATAAAAATCGAATCAAAATCCATTGCCTAATTTACCCGCCAAAACCCAAAATCAATGGTCCAATTTTAATGCCATTGAAACATATCTACGGCCCAATTTTATCTACGTGGAAATACAACGTGCGAAAAAAAAAACCTAAACCCACCCTGCGCAATATCCCACCCACGACACTACAAACCTGCGATACATACTTCCCACGATGCTTGTGAAACTGCCGGAGATTGATTTTTTGAAGAACCTGGCGGGCGGTTACATGAAGGCATCGCTGCAACAGTATATATAGTTCATCATCTTTATTCTGAGTATATTCACAATTTCCAGTAAAACGAAATGTCTCCCCATTGGGTTCCTCTCAAGAGGCTGCACCCAACGAGGCATCAGGATGCTGTGAAACTAAGACTCCTACGAAGCTACGATTGTAAGTCGAGGACGACTACACCGAGCACAGTCTATGCACACGAAGCTATTTTCCAAGATGAACAGGTTTTATGTTTCAACTAAAATCCACATGTTTTTATACTTTGAATTTCATGCGTGCAATTCTTAAAATCGTTTATAATATGTAGGGAAACCAACATATTTTTATTCTTTGAATTTCATGTATGCAATACTTAATATCGTTTCTAATATGTAGGGAAATCGAATTCATGCATGTTGTGAAAAACATTTGATCCCAGACTTCAAACCTCTATTAAAAGAGGGACAAGTGCATGGAATAGAGAATCCCATTGTGTCAAAGAATACTCAAAATTTGACTGACCATCTATACAAACTGTCATTTGTTAAAGACACAGTGATAACACATGTCAACGATGAAGATTTCCCGGAGAAAATGTTCAAGTTTGGAAATTTTAAAGCCCTCAATGCAGCCAAAGATATTCAGTATCGACCCATGTTTGGTAAACGTCTATCATTCAATTTAACACAATATTGTCCTTTGAAAAAACAAGTCTTAATAATGACAAACCTGTCTTATGTCATTTTAGATGTTATTGGGTTATTGCATGTTAATCAACCGCCAACTGAAAGGATTGGAAAAAGTGGTACCAAAGTGGTACCACATTGTCGCAATGCAAACTCCTATTTTGAGGATAAAAACATGAAAGTCCTATTTTAATGATAAGAGTTATGTTTTACTCCTATTATAGGTGATTTCTTAAATTAAATTTCTACTAAAAAAGGCAATAGTGTTTATTCAAACGAAAAAGAAAAAGAAAAAGAAAACAACAACAACAACCCAGTTGAATCCCACTACAGTAGGGTCTGGGGAAGGTGTGTGTACGCAGACCTTGCCCCTACTCGGAAGTAGGGACTGTTTCTAAGAGACCCCAGCTCCAACCTGCACAAAAAAAAATGATAGGGCACAATAAAAACAGATAAAACACCAAGTACAATGGAATGAAAGTCCTGCAAGCAAAAGCAAAGGAGAAAAAGAAAAAGAAAAGTGGAGTGGTTTATTAACAACAAACTACACCAAAAAATGTAATCCAAATTATATCCTAAAGTGATACACTAGCATTTTAACGATTTATAATGACACAAAATAATAGTTCAATCAAAAATATTAATACTAATATTTTATATCATTGTAAATCATCATACTAGTATTACACTCACATAAACTGTTGGTGCATCCTTTGGAGTATAAAGTGATATACTCCGTACAATTTTTGGTACATATACTTTAATTATATTAACAAATATGGAGGCAATATCACCCACCTGCCATTGTTCTATGTTAGCAGGTCATTTTCCGTCAATCTCCTCTCTCGCTTCTTCTTCTTCATCTGACTTGTGTTGACAGTCTACACTCCTCATTTTCTACCTCCTCGCTTCTTCTTCTTCTCCTCGCCTTCTTTGGACCCTAAATTTCCTATTGAGGCAATGGCAACAGGCAACCAAGGAGAGGATGACGAAGAAATCGAGCGATGGCTTCCTCCAGAGGCACTACTTTTGAAGAGAGCGAAGGAGGATCAAATCGCGAAAGGAGAAGATTATTTGGAGAAAGCCGATAAGAAGATGGACGGCTGGTCTTTTTTTGGCAACAAATACAATGATGCAGCTGAATTGTTAGAGAAAGCCGCCAACTCCTTCAAGCTCGCTATGTCATGTACCTTGTTTTTACACATTAATTTTTTCCATTCATTGACATATTTCAAGTTCAGTTAAGTTTCTGATTCACTGCTCCATTGGGATTCGCGAGTTCATTTGTGTAATTGTGTCCAATCGTCAATGATTAATTTGATTACTCAGAAATTGTAATAGGATATCTTGTTAAGTCTCTGGTGTGTGATGATATCATATTATTTTGATATAGGTTCTGGATCAAAGTGATTCTATTCTAGTGTTGGATACCTATTGATTGTTGTCTAACTTGCTCTACCCTTGATTTTAGTTGAAGAATATAAAGCTTGTTTTATTCGATGTGCGTCTCATAGATAGATCCTTGTTGTTGTTTAATGCATATAAGTAGTTGATATTATGATGGTAGTATTACTTGGATCATAGGTGCGCTTGATTCTTTATTATGCAACTTGTTAACTTCTGCAATAGAAAACCAGTACTTCTCTATAACATAAACAGAAGCCAACACCCCAAACTCTGTTAAATCTGCTGAGCCTAATATTTAATGTGTATATGTTTTACCTGTATTATGTTCCACGGGATGACAACAGTTTTCTTACACCGTGCTTATTGTATTAGGGGATGAAGCGGGGGATGCATTTGTCAAATTGGCTGGATGCCATTTGAAGGTATTTGCTTTGTCCCCTGGATTCCCTGGAATATGAACATTTGTATGCTTGTTTATGTGTTGCCTATCATATTCTTGTAAGCTTACTTTGATTATTGTTTGATATCATATATGCAGTTGAATAGAAAACTTGAGGTTGCTAATGCATATGCTGAGGCTGGTCTCAGCTACAAGAAATATAATCGCAAAGGCATGTCCATAGATATAATTTGAAGATGTCTGCAAACATTTTCTCCTTATTACATTTTTCCAGGTTCAGTAAGATAGTACAATACTTTGTCGCTATATTCTTAGGCATTGTTCATCATCCCTGATAAGCAGTTCTATGAGAACTAGTCGAGCTTCCAAAAACCTGCCATCTCCAAACCTTATATGGTGCAATAAATGAGTCCTCGTGTTATACTTCTCAATTTCTCATGTTAGTTCACATTTTGGTCTCTTTTGGAATGGTTTGGCCGTTGAAATAGAATAACTCAAAATTGAGTTGATGTGATTTTGAATTTTGAATTACCAAGAATTAGATAACACTCTCCCCATCCCCTTTTAATCTTCTTATCTTCTTATTTCCTTTTTTGTCTATCCTAAAACAAATTTCCTCTCTCCTTTCTAAAGAAATTTCAATAAACAATTTCATTTTCCTAAACTTCGTGCCATGTCAATCATGAAAGATCAAATAGGGGCGGATGGTGTATTATGCTGGGATTGATGAGCATTCACCAAATTCTTAAAAGTTGGATTCATACAAAATTTGAAATAGCTTCCCATTCCCATGAAATTGAGCTTGGTACCCATGTTTGGGATCCAAAAGTTGGGAATTACGGGATCCATAGGAATCTCAATATCTAAAATTGTATAAACCACAAACCCTCGAAATCTGCCTTGCGTTTTGCTCAATTCTTAGGAATTGAGTGAATTCTCATCAATCAAATTCAAATCATAACACTCTGATATGGTAGGTTCTGCATTTTCAGAAATAGGGGAGGAATCCCATGATTCCCAACTTTTGGACCCCAAACATGGATATCAAGCTTAATTTTTGGGAATGAGAAATCCATTCAAAACTTTTTATGAAGCTTTGTGCTTTACTTCTCTTGTTTAACTTTACATATTATTCTCATTTGGAATGATATGGAAATTGGAATATAATAAATTAATAACTGTGAATTGGGAATTGTGGTAATGTGATTTGAATTACCATGTAGTAAATTATTTCATGTTTGGATGAAGGAAATCATCCAATTCCCCGTAATTGTGTAAAAACCATGCTATATGAGGGCTTGTGGTTCATGCAATATGGGGAATAAGATATTCCTCGTAATCTCACAAGATCTAATTTTTTTTCCCAAAGCCAATTCTCAGGAATTCCCTATTCACGGGATTAATAAGCCATTCCAAACATATTATTGTTACATTATCCCCTGGATATATATGAACTTGCTATATTTACTTATTGTGTAGTGAGTTGAGAGTCAGTTAAGATGATGTGTAGGTATCCAGAAACTAGAACTAATAGACATTTTGATGGCTTGTCATTTTTTGGAAAGATGTTTGCTGTGACTAATATGTTTTAATATTTTTCCACTAAGTATATCTGCATATTTGGAGGCTGTTCATTCTTCCTTCTGCTTTTTATATTTACTGTTTAAGTTGAAAGTAGATGATTCTTAAGTCTCAACAATAAAAATGTCGCAGAGGCTGTGGAATACCTAGGAAAAGCAGTAGAGATATTTGCGGACATTGGGGATTTCAGCATGTGTGGAAGATATTGTAAGGTATATATAGCTATGCCAGGCCAGCTCTACATGAACCAGAAATGATTCAACTCCATATTCAGAAGTACTATTATCTATTTCTTTGTCTATCTAGTATAATGCATTAGTACTAGTTAGTCTATTGCATGGAATACCGTTCGTATATAGAACTTCATGTGTCTACCTAGTAAAATATTTTTAAGAGATAAATTTGTGTTTAATGTATGTGTATGTGGAGACTGCCCATTCTCAAAGGAGCTCAAGAGTCGTTATTGACAATATTTTAGTTTCAGAGTCATATTTGACTTAATCAAAATGGCACATAACTCTACCTTGCTTACTTTCTACGATGTTCTGGACAACAAATGCCCCAAGGTATCGTGGTTCTTACAGATACATCATCTCTATTTCTATAGAGGTAGGGTAAGACTGCATGCATCTTGACGCCATACCTCAATGGAGTTTGGATTAAAGTGGGTTGTTGCTGTTGTATTTGTGTGTGCATGAAATTGCCGAAATATGAGCAGCTCCCTAGTAAAATATTTTTATGAGATCACTTTATGTATAGTGTATTTGTAAGTGCAGGAAATTGCTGAAATATATGAGCAAAGGCAAGACATTGGAATAGCAATCCAGCAGTATAATACAGCAGTTGATTATTTCGAAAGGCAAAATGTATCAACATTTGCAAAGCAGTGCAAACTTAAAATTGCTAAACTTTCTGCTGAGATGGAAGAGTAAGCATGCGGACCTCCATATACATAGGCATGTCAATGGGTTGGGTTTGGGCCAATAAGAAAAAGTAATAAGTGATAAAATTAGTTGAGGAGAACTTGCTCTTAGTCGGATCAGGTCGAAATTTGGGTTTAATTGGTTGAGAGCTTCTATTTTTATAACTCATATTTAGACTACATTTTCAAGTGACATAAATAATTTTACTTTTTTATGGTATCTAACTTCTATTTCTTTTGCAGGATCTTTTTGTGGGGAAGTGTTGATAACTTTACAAAAAGGCTAAATACATTATTTATTTCTATTATCTCATTAAAAAATTAAAATTATTATTTTTTAATATCGGGTTGGGTCTAGTCAGGGTTATCCAAACCCTTACCTGTTGTAGAATTTTTAAAACGGGTCCGAATCCTGGTCGGGTAAACAGAGATTATGTCTAACCTTTATCCACAAAATAATCGACAGGTTCGGGTCGGAACTAGGTCCAAACACGACCCATTGGCAGGCTTACAAACACAGCATAGCTGCTTGACGAAAAAGAAATATGAAGCGTTTTCATAAGGTTGTGTGCTTGTTAAACGCCGCTACAAACTAATCAAGACTAAAACATGACTGAGTTCTTAGATATCCAAAGGCTATTAAAATATATGAGGAGATAGCGTGCCTTTCTGCGAATAACAACTCGTTCAAATATGGAGTTAGAGAGCATCTTCTTAATGCTGGTCTTTGCCAACTATGCCTTGGTGATAATGTTGCAATTAAGAATGCTTTAGAGAAGTACGAGGTAAAAATGTTTCTCTTATTGTTTTGAGAACTTTATCAAGATGTGATACTTTAGACTTATGTTGAATATCCATCTATAGGATCTGGATCCAACATTCTCAGGAACGCAGGAGTATAAGCTACTGGTGGTATGTGGACCCAAGTTATTTTTCTACTGTATCTACATGGTATTTTTTGAAATGATTAGTGTAAAAGATCATTTTTCCACTGAAGTGATGTAACATGGAAAGTCTAATGGTAAATAGTGCTAGCCTGAAGATGTTTAAAGTCTATGAGAGAATGTGTCATTACCACCACTGCCTTAATCTTAACTAAGATAGGGTTGGTGGTTCAAAGTTTGGAGATCACTGACATTAAAATAGAATCTTGACTGTTCAAAGTTTGAAGTACTTAACTCCAAATCTTTAGTGTTGTTCCTTATGCTCTTCTTCCTGAAGGTCTTATGAGCCGCGCCATCATGAAATACTTTGTTCTAGCATCTATAACATTTTGTAATCATGCCATTCAAATGAGCTTTACTTTCATGGTACTGTATCGGGTTGGCGTGGTTGGCTTTCAACAACTCTCAAACTTGCTTCGCTTGCGAAGTAATTGACAACATTCATAGTGTGTATTGCTTTAATGATGGCAGGATTTGGCTGCGTCATTGGGCGAGAAAAATGCGGCAAAGCTCATGGATGCTGCCAACGAATATGATAGCGTGACCCAACTGGTAATTTGAGCATATACCATTTCAACATTATTCTATTCTTGGATGTGATTTCCTCTTGTCATAGTTCAAAATTCTAAGTTCTGTGGATGGATCTTGTCAAACAAATCTTTAGCGGCAGCATAATAGTGTTCTAGACTGTTAACCGCTGACAAATTTGAATATACCATTTCCACCGTTGCGTTTCATGGTTTGTATATTGAATCATTTCTCAGTTAGTAACAAAATAAGTCTGCCTTATAGAATGATGAGTTGGTTTACTGCAATTCATGATTTTCTTGGACAATGATGAAGAATGGTGATTTGTGTGTTCTTTCTATTCTTAATTGTGTGGTCGGTGATTGGCAGGATGCATTGAGGACCACACTGCTTCTTAGGGTGAGGGAATCTATCTATCAAAGCTACAGAACTTGAGGAGGAGGATCTTAGTTACTTGAACTTTTAGGCCACTTGTACTTGCCTTTTTGCCTTAATTAATTTATTGGGGGACGTAGTAAAGATTTGCGGGGGTTTTGATACTTCATTCTAGCTACCTGGCAGTAGTGGTGGGCCTTAAAATTAATTATTCAATTGAAGTTATTTATTTAAATTACAAGAATGTTTGGTGATGTTGTTTCTTAAAGACTTATGCAACGTTTGATTTGTTTATTCTTAGTTACTTATATTTATTTAAAATTAATACGAGTGGATGTTTTATTTTAAATGTTTTTTAAAATATTGTGCAAATAAATATCATATGGGAGAAAGACCAAAGTAGGACTAAAACATTGAAAATATACCAAAATAGGACTTCCATGTTTTTATTCTCGAAATAGGACTTATATTACCAAACATGGTCATATACATTACCAAGAAAGTATAGTAAGTTGCACATGTACACTGCCACATTACCACAATGTAAAGTTACATTACCACAGTGCAAAGTCCTATTCCGGGAAAAAAACATGAAAGTCCTATTTTGGTACTTTTCTCTATGTTTTAGTCCTATTTAGGATAATTTCTAATATCATATTAGTAGCAATCCGATTTGCTAACTCATTGGTTCGGATTATGTGAGTTAGAGTGTTACCAATCATAATTGATACTCCATCGTCCCATTTTAAATTGTCAATTTTCCTTTTTGTCTGTCCCAAAATAAGTTGTCTGTTTCTTATATTATTAAATTTTTAAGGGTAAAATACCTAAACTACTCCTAAAATAAGCCATTTTTCTCCACCTTATCTACTAATTCATCGCCACCTCCCTAAAAAAGTAAGGGCATTTTTGAAAAGTCATTACCATTTTTTCTCTTCCTTAAATATGCTCAAGGTTCAAAACGGGCAATATAAAATGCGACGGAGTATATTCCTCTGTTTGATTGAATGGAGATTTCTTGTTCCAGTTGTCTCTTTGTATAATGGATCTTGACTTTTCTTTGTAAGAATTTCAGTTTTTTAATGTTTCAAACATGGAGTTCAACCAATGTCATCTGCCACAAAATTACCCTTACTGGAGTAATAGTGGATGATGCGTTTATAGTCTTTGATTAATTGCAAGCATCTTCATTGCCTCAAATTGAGTTTTGTTTATGTGAGAAGGTTTTTCAAGCTTTTATGATCAATGTAGATGTATGTCTTTTCACCATATAAATAGGGACATCAAATTTTCAATGCCAAAACTAGTGCCGCTAGTTGTATATCATGGAGTCCTAAGTCTTTTACGACCAAATAGGAGTTACACTACCATTATTACACATGCACACTTACCACATTGTCACATTGTAACTCCCACACTATCGCTACCACATTGTCATCTGTTGACGCCGGGCACCAAAGTGCCAGCGCAGATTGCCGACAGCTGACTTATTACACTGTCATCACTTTTAAATCACATTGCAAATACGTATACATACATCACAATACCATTATACTCCCATTCTGGTCTTAAAAGAATTATGACTCATATTTTAGTATTTTCATATCTTTTTACTCTTATCCATGTAGATTTCTTTTCTTAAATGGACCAATCTCAAAAAAAATTCATTTGGAAATGACGATTTTGAGAAATTAGTATAAGTTTTAATGTTGATTTGGTGTCGTTGATGGTTGTTAGTTGGGGGACTAAATTGAGCATTATTATCAATTAACGAGTACAACTTTAGTTGCACCTCACAAAGTTAGGAGTAGTAATTAAGATCAAAATTTAAGGTTATTTTTAGTTGAAAATTTTGCTCCATAAAGGACTAAAAGATAGTACACTTTCCTGAATAGACTAAGTATGTTTTATTCCCTTTATGACATATTATTCTATATGATCTTCCATATATGCCCTCATTAGCAAGAACTAGGGATGTTAAAAAATATCCGATCCGAAATATTCGTCCACGATCTAGGGAGATCCGATTTGAGAAATGGACATCCTATCCGATATTCTAGCTTTCAGATATTTTGGATTGGATACCCGAGAAAAATCGGATTGGATATGGATTCAAATTTTGGTATTTTTTTGATAATCGGATATCCGATTTTTTTGGCTATATGTTTAATGAATTTATGGATATATATTATGGCTATATGTTTAATGCAATTTTGTGTTGATTTTGGAACTTAAGCATTTTGGACTTTTTGCATTAGCATTTTGGAATTTTTTGTTTTAGTAGTGCTTTTTTTGTTTGTTTAGGCCAAACTACCAAAGTTACTCCCAAATTGAATTTGGTATCATTTTTTATTAGGCCATTACCTAGTGGTGGAATTTTACTTTTAGTAAATCTATATTTAATTTGATATTGTGGGATGATTTTGCTATTTTACCTTTTTTTGTAAATTTTTGCTAAACAATTAACTTTTGGGATAATCCAGCGATCCGATCCAAAAATTCGGATATCTGAACTTCGGTTATCCGAATATTTTCAGACCGGATATGGAATGAGTTTAACACGATCTAAAATTTTCGGATATCCGAATTTTCAGATCGGATCTAGATGGGATCAATCCGATTGAACACCCCTAGCAAGAAGTATTGAATAATGACTGATTATACGAATGACTTTACGAATGTGGTCATTAGCTATACGAATGACTCTACGAATGTGGACATTAGCAACAAGTATTGGATATGAATGATTATTTCAATGAATATTCAAATCTTTTTAAATATTGCTTATTCTACTTGAATTGTGTAACTGGTCATTTTTCTCAAAGACATGACATTTTGGAACTTTCCATTGCCAAACGTTAGAAAAGATAGAACTGGTCCTATTTAGGGAAAAGTGATATGTTTAAGACCTATTTACGTAAATTGTCCTTTTTAGTTTGAGAAATCTTAAAAATAATAATGCGGCCATATTTTAGTCTATCGTGAAGAACTTTGGACTAGATTTGAAAGTTGCTCTAATTATAAAAAGATTAAATTTTATAAATGCTCTCTTATAACTTGTATTCCTTTATATATAGTCCCCAAATATTAGATATTACATTTGTGGTCCTTAATTTTTCAAAAGTATTCTATAATCGGTCATTTGAAAGTATATGTTAAAAAAATATTTGGTCATATTTGGCTTAAAAGACTAATTAAAAAATAAAAATTGTGGACCGTGAATTAAATATCTTAAAATTAGAGACTAAATATAGAAAACTACTTGTTATAAGAGATTATTAATGAAATTTATTTTTATGAAAAAATAGAAGAAGTGATATGTAAATGCAAGACCCACAAAAATAATGCTTCGTATGTAACGCCCCGAAACCTGGCATATCAGAGTTAATAAATTAAAAATAATTAATTAGTTATTGAGACGAACCTGAAGTTTATTTTAAATATTCGTTAATAAAATATAGAAATTATACCCTTGTGTAGGATTCGACGAGACAAATCCAACGGTATAAATGGATTTGAATTTGGAGCAAGTTGGCCTAAAAAGGATATTTTATATCAAGGTACGTTATTTAATTACGGCGACCAAAACCCTATAACTATAAATATAACCCTACACGCCTAAACCTCACACGTGCCGCCATATTTACATCAACTCTCGACCCTCACTCTCTCTCTCTCTCGTTCCTTGCCGACCGAAAATGCAAAGTAGTAGAGACAGAGCCGAAGAAGAAGAAGAAGAAGAAGAAGAAGAAGAAGAAGAAGAAGAAGAAGAAGAAGAAGAAGAAGAAGAAGAAGAAGAAGAAGAAGATGATGATGATGATGATTATGATGATGATGATGATGAAGAGAAGGAAGAAGAAGAGAATAGAAGAAAGAAGAAGAGAATGGAAGGAAAAAGAAGAGAAGTCGTGCCATCACCGCTGTTCGTTAGATTTGTTCCTCGTAGCTTTCGTTTGTCACGTTCGAGGTGAGTATAGGTTTGGATCTTACATTCATAGAATTATTATGGTTGATTTATGTGAAACCCTACGTGTGATAGTTCAATTAGATTATTGGTAGTTTGTGGGTTAGAACGCATGAATTGTTATGGTTATAATAATGGTATGATTAGATAGTATTTGGGAATTGAATTATTAACATATTAGTAATGAGTTATATGAAATTGGAAGTGGATTGTTGCTAGAATTCGTCTGATGCAGAAATAGGTTTTCGCTCAGACGGTAGGCAGTACCGCCACAGTCCGTTCTGCACTGTTGGAACCTGCTACCTTTTGGTACCTAGTTTCAGACAGACGGTAGCTGGATACCATCACATGCCATATGGTGTTGGCAGACTCTATCCCAGTCAGTACCAGGTACCGCCTAGACGATACTAGGTACCATGTCGGTACCCTAGTGCCGAGCTAAGTACCGCCTGGTACCCAAAGTTTGTTCTTAAGTCTATTTTTGTGTCGAAGGTTTATTCCAAGACCTTGTATGTTGGATGACGGTAAGTATGGTTGTTCACACCCAACGCTAGGCCGATGTTTAATCATGTAATCGTGGGCGCTTGTGTGCTGAATGCACTATAAGGCTAAGGTATACGCCTCTTCTAACACCAATTGGTTTTAGAAGAGTTGGTAGCGCCTGAGGTCCTACAATTCAGGTACAAATCTGTGCACGGGGATCTATGAAATGTCATTCTGAAGGGGACATGGATCACCCACCCAATGAGGAACTCCTGAGTTGGTTGAGTTGGTCTTTGTTCTAAAGAGGAAGTCAGGAAGATCATGACTCCAATAAAAAAGTCAAAAGTTAGAATATGTGTTGGACATGAGTTCAAACCCTTTTATTATTTTCTGGAATATTTTTTTGGTTTTGATATATGACAAACAGGATGATTAAATTCAATTCAACGATGATCGAAAATCTATTTTTCGTATCAAGAAAAGCAAAAGAGGCGTATCAAGAAATTTACGGAGATAAAAATCAACGCTCACCCCTACGCAGATTTTTGAAGTGAAGAGAAGATTCTGAAAACTTTTTATTTTTTATTGAGTCTAGGAATTTTTGTAAGGATGACAATAATTTTTTTGCATAAACTAATTAATTTTGAGGGATAAAAATTATTATTTTCTAAGTCAGTTGAAAAATCATTTTTTTTGAAAAATCATTAATTGTGGTGTGCCAAACAACGAAATCGTCCACACAAAAAATGGGCAGATTGCTACAGCCGCTCCCGGTCCCCGCTCGGGTTTGGGACGATGTTACTATGGACTTCATTGTGGGTCCCCCGCCATCCAGAGGGTACACAACTATTATGGTGGTGGTTGACCGCCTTTCTAAATACAGCCGCTTCGGCACTCTCCCGGCCACATTCGACGCACCAAAGGTTGCCACTTTGTTCATCGACATCATCATCAAACACCATGGATTCCCTAGATCCATTGTCTCGGATCGAAACCCTATCTTTATGAGCAATTTTTGGACTTCCTTGTTCACCTTGAGTGGCACATCCTTGAAGCGGAGTACCGCTTATCGTCCGCAAACAGATGGCCAGACCGAGGTTCGAAATCGGGGGGTCGAACAATACCTCCGGGCATTTTGTCACGATCGGCCGTCCAAATGGTCTGTTTTTCTAGCATGGGCTGAGCTGGCTCTGAATTCCAGTACACCGACGATATAAGCAATGTCCCTGGCCTGGATGTCCTATTCTCCGAACGGCAGGGGCTCCTCAAGGAATTGAAGAAGAATTTGTTGGGAATGCAGCAACGTATGTGTGTCGAGGCAAACAAACATAGACGGGACATGACCTTTGGAGTGGGGGATCACGTTCTACTTAAGTTGCAGCCGTATCGCCAGTTCTCCGTGGCCAAACCGATGTCGGCTAAATTGGGCAGACGTTTTTATGGTCCCTTCGAGATTCTTGCTAAGGTGGGAAACGTGGCATATAAATTGAAGTTACCAGAGGGCACACGGATCCATGACACCATCCATGTCTCTCTTTTGCGCCCATTTGTCGACAGGAGTACTTCGCCGGTGGTCCAGTCACTACCTACAGAGTTCCACGAAGGGGCCCATTGTCTGTACCTGTTCGGGCTATTCGTGCAAGGACAGTCTTGGGAACGGGGTGAAGCGCAGGAGCAGTGGTTGGTGGTATGGTCGAACGGGGATGTGATCAATGCATCCTGGGAACCGGCGGATCACTTACGCTAAGTCTATCCGGGTCTAGTTCTTGAAGACAAGGACCTTTTTGAAGCGGAGGGAAATGTTACGGGAAGTGATACGAGAGAAGGTGGGAGTCGGGCTACAACAAAGGAGCACGGAAATACGTTGAGGCGATCGGGTCGAGCGACTAGAACCCCAGCACGACTCCAAGACTATGTTTAATTTGAGTTTCATTTATTTATCCATTGTTTGTGGTTATCCTTTATTTATTATTGTAATTTAGATTTTCTTTAGGTGAGCAAATATATAAGCTCCTTCGAGGATTTCTTTTCGGTTCTTTACCTCGATGCTTTTCTTGAACCGACAGAGTTAGAGTTTTTGTTATTATAAATAGGAGTTCCTATATCGTACAACCGGATGTACCTAGAGATAGGTACATCCGGGTACTACTCATTCTGAAGTGTAGTAGTACTCATTCTCGCACAAATATAACTATAATGTGGTACTCATTCTAAGAAAATGTAGTACTCATTGTAAAATAATTTAGTACTCATTTTCACAAATTTATTCAATACAATTATAAAATTTATTTACAAATAACGTAATGTACATTCTAAAATAAAATAGTACTCATTCTTAAAAAACTTAATATTCATTTTCAAATAAATAAAATCCATACCATAAATATTTTTTTCTTTTTTCTCTCACACCTGCAGCCCTCTCATTCGATCAGATCGATCGACTCCTCCAGGTGGGTTTGGGGGTTTTTCATACAGCGTCTCCCATCAAAGAAGGAATCAGCTGCCGGTTTCTTCCTCCAGATCTGACGCACATCAAAGAAGGAATCGGCCTGTCAACATCTTCCTCCATCCACCGTGCACATCTCCCTTCCATACAACCGCTTTCTTCCTCCAGATCTGACGCAGCTCTCCTTCGGCGCAACTGCCTTCATCCGACCCGACCCGACTAGCTCCTCCGATCAACGCCATTTCTTCTTTGATTTGCCGGCTGTACCCAATTTTGGGTACAGCCGATTGTATGGTATAATTTGCTTATAAATAGAGTTCTTTTACTCTAAAAATAAATAACAAGAACATAATTAGCCAAATTCTTCTCCTATTTCTCTCTTCCTTTCCCTCTTTCCTCACGTCCCTCTTCCTTGGCACGCCTTTCCTACTAGGTGTGCTAGGGTTACACCTCGTAACAACCTGAAACCCGCGTCGCCTAGCAATTTGTCTGGGTTGCCTCTGCTTCAAAGGATCCGAACTCTATCAATACTCCCCCACTTCATGGATATGAACGATATGGAATTAGTCGACGCAGATGATTTCGGCTCCTCTGTCTTATCTCAATTCAGCGATTCCATGGACGCTTCTCACGCTCACATATGTGCCGCCATTAATGAAATGTCACAGGAGCTAAAGGATCAGAACTTTCCTCTTAGCCCCGTAGCCTACTTTGGCCTCACTTTCTCATCACTCCAACGCCTATCAACGGCTGAAGCAGTGGAGCCCCAGGCTCACATCATTGATGCTCTCTCGACCATTCTGTCACTCGCGATTTATAGAATCAGCAAAGCTGTGCTGCTGAAGCAATTCAATTGTGTTTCAAATTTCATCATCCGGATTCTTACCCAGAAAAAGATTGGCGACCAGGGGATTATCTCGTGTCTAAAGTGCAATTCTTATCTTTTGATTGTCAGAGAAAATGCGAGCTGGGTCGATATAGCTGAACTCTATGGTCTTCTGCTTGGTTTTGTGGCGGATGGTCGACCAAAAGTTAGTATATTCATTGCAAAAACTGATGCAAGTTTGATTTTAAACAGGAGTCGTGGATCATTTAATGGACTTGTTCTACCTTATAGCATTAATGTTTTTGTGAATTTTAAAAAGTTGGGGTCTTTGTTGGTACTGGGTGATATAAAGTGGGAATTGATTATGGGTTCTTACTTGTTTTGTGATTTTCTTCTACTAAAATTAAGATACAGGGCAATATATTTAGTTATGAGCACCTGTCTGTTCCCTGCTTAATATCAAAATTCTGTCTTTACTTGATCAGTAGGTACCTAAATTCAATATGTTCTAGTGGGAAGAAAGTGTAAAATCTGAATTTATGGTAGTGCATGTAGTAATCAATTAGATGTAACCTTATAGTTAAGTCTTCATGCTTGATCTGACGCTGTCCATAACTATCCAGTTATCCACTTAAAAGTTGGGGTGTTCGCCCTTTGGACTGAGGCTTCGTTTGGTAATAGTGCTTGTGATTAGCGTTAGCATTTTAGATGAAAATACAACACCAAAAGCTACCAAAGGAGAATATTTTCAAAACGCTAAAGCTAATGTGTAACAGAGTATGATTGTGCATGCAGTACCTTCTGTATTTTCTTTTGGTAATAGAAATGTGCCAAAAGATGTCTGTTTTGCAAGTGCCGATCTTCTTTAAAAATGGTCACATTTATCATTTTTATTTTGGCTGGTGATGGTAACAGGTGAGGAAACAGTCTCACATTTGTCTTCATGAAGTACTACAAAAATTTCAGAATTCATCTTCACTCAAAACTTTATTGGCACCAGCAAGTGAAGCCATCCAGAATGTATTTGCTCATCTACTTAGGGGAGGATCAAACGAAAATTCTTCTGAAGGCCCAATAGGAGCACATGAAGGAGAATCAAACCAAAATTCTTCTGAAGGCCCAAAACGAGCCCATGAAGTTCTGTACATTCTTGATGCACTTAAAATTTGTCTCCCATTTATGTCTAGGGAGTCTTCAGTGAAAATTTTGAAGTACTTCAAAACTCTCTTGGAATTGCGTCAACCTCTTGTTACTAGATGTGTAACAGATGCCATCAATGCACTCTGTACCCACCCAACAGAAGTTTCACCAGAAGTGCTTTTGGACCTTCTGTGCTCATTGGCCATGTCAATTTCTACTAATGAGTCATCAGCTGATAACACAGCATTTACTGTTCGCTTGTTAGGTGTTGGGATGAAAAGAATATATTCCCTTAATAGGCAGATTTGTGTGGTTAAGCTCCCTTTGGTATTCAGCAAACTAAGTGGTTAGTTGTTTCCCCATTGTCTCTGTTTTACCCAAAAATTCATTGTCATAAATAATTTTACGAGTACACAGTTTCAAAGTAAATTGTTTGGGGGTGATTGTGAGGGGGTTGGGAGGAATAATTGCTTTAATCCATGGAAATAGATATATTGATTTCAGTAGAGCCAATTTTTAACTCATGAAATACGATTGGTTGTATTTTTTCCCTGTGGATTGCAGATGTGTTGGTTTCTGAACATGAGGAGGCTTTGTTCGCTGCAAAGGAAGCTTCTAAGAGCTTAATAAATGTGTGCATTGACGACAGCATTATAAAAAAAGGTGTTGATCAGGTTGTGTTGAGTTCTAATGACGGAAAAAGGAAATCAGCTCCAACTATTATTGAGAAAGTGTGCGCAGTTGTTGAAAGTTTGTTTGATTATCAATATGCAGCAGTTTGGGATATTTCACTTGAAATTGTTTCAACAATGTTTGACAAACTAGGTAACTGCATTCCTTCTCTCTAGTTATATAGTCTTGGTAAATAGTTTCATGACTTCCATCCGTATATTCTTATATGCAACAAGCCAATTCTTGTGATTGCAAAGCGCATTAAGATTATTATCAGGTTTTTCTTTTTCTAATTTATCATCTCTGACTTACTTTATTTGTTTAATAGACACTTAAAATAAGGAGTAATCTTCATTCTTTTATTTTCCTTTCAGGTCAATATTCTTCTTACTTCTTGAAAGGAGCCCTTAGAAATTTGGCTGAGATGCAAAAGCTACCCGATGAAGATTTCCCATATCGTAAACGGGTAAGGCTCTAAGAAAATGAGACTTATTAACAGAAAGATCTTTGGGTAATTGATAATGGCTCCATTTAGTTATTTCTGTTGTGTGGGTTGAAAATTTCTACTTGATGGCTGAGAATCCTGAGATTCTTTGCATATAGTTTTAATTTATTCTTATATGAATAGATGATACAATTACCATTTTCTGGCCTTTTTTCATTATTATTGGACGCAATGCGATCTAGTTTTGGTTTGCTGATTGCAGCTACATGAATGTGTGGGATCAGCTGTTGGTGCTATGGGACCTGAAACTTTTTTGAGCATTGTTCCTCTTAATTTGGACTCTGAGAATTTATCAGAGGCCAATTTGTGGCTTTTTCCTATCCTGAAACATTACATTGTTGGTGCTCATTTACGCTTCTTTACCAAGAAAATTATGTCCATTATTGGAACTATGAAGCAGAGGTCTGCCACGGTATGACTTTGCTGCCAAATGTCTTATTTCTGCCTGCTTTACCCCCATATTTGCTTCTCTTTCCTGCTGGTAGGTCTATGATTTTTAACATTTTTTTGCAGTTTGAGGAAGGAGGAAAGATCATCTCTGCGAGAACTACTGACGGAATTGTACACTCTTTATGGTCATTGTTGCCATCATTTTGCAACTACCCTCTAGACACTGCTGACAGTTTCAAGGATTTGGAGAAGGCACTACATAGAGTATTGCTTGAAGAGCCTGATATTCATGGTATAATATGCTCCAGTTTGCACATTCTCATTGAACAGAACAAGAACATTGTAGAGGGAAAACATGATCCATCTAATGTGGGTATGAACATTCACAAGGAGCGAGCAATTACACATTACAACACACAAGTTGCATCTGATAATTTGAGTGTTATACGGGTCTCTGCTAGCAAATTACTGCCGCTTCTTTCTGGTGCCTTCATGAATTCTTCAAAAGACACTGTTGGACCTTTGCAGGTAATTTTTAAATATTCCTCACAGTGCTAAATAAATTCCTCTCCCTTTTAATTTTGTAATCAATTCAAACTATAAATCTAGTATGTTGACTAGACTGAATCCTACATAATCATGGCTGTACAGTAACTTAAAATAAGTTCTTTACTAGTTTAACATAGCAGTATCGCATATTTACTGTTGAACAACATAATTTATTCGTACGATGAAAATTGTTTTATTGCTAATAGGTACTCTCTTCAGTTAAGTTCTTTCTGTCACATGGAATTGAAAAATATCTCTATCTGAAATTCTAACAATTTTGTTCTTTCCATTATGGTTACTAAATTTTTACCCGTGTGTTGCAGAATAAGAATATTTTTCCAATTATATGTAATTTATTTATACATCGATATTATTTCATAAAATTGGCTAACATAAAATTGTAAGAATTTCTTAGGATGAGAAATACTCCGTAAATTACTATAACTTATAAAATACACTATCGTGAATATTATAGGTTTGTTGTAATCAATCTGTTAACTGTATTTGCTTTCCCTGTGAAATCTAAAGTAAACAACAAACTTAATACGGGGTAAATCACTTTACATAAATTAATATAAAAGACAATGTATTCCATATATTACTCTGGTCTGTAATCTCCAACCCAGTTATCTTTAATTATCCTTCCCATACCAACTGGAGGAATAAGCATAACAATTATCAATAGGGACTTTTACTTCTGTGAATGCATTCCTTCAATCTTTACCCGTTAGGAAGCTTGTTTCAGTGCTTATTCTCTCTGTTAGTGTTTTCTATTTCCCAACCATTTCCTGCATTCCCCATCTTGAACGAATACTTATGAAAACCCCCAAAAAATAGTAACCACTAACCAGGGAATGCCCTGGAAGTTGCTGGCTTCGAGCCCGAACTTGTGGAGACATGCTGTGCTCCTTCATGCAACACTTGACTGAAAAGTAGGGAAGGTACTTATTCTATGTTGCCAAGAAATCTCAATGAAACATTAAAAAAGGTAATCACCAGTGGAACATATTTTAACATGAAACAACTATGATCAATAAAAAATGATGGGGAAAGAGCAAAAAATAGAAAAGTACAAAGAAAAAAGTTGATTGACACATGCATGATGTGAAAAAAGATACATAACTAACTCAAAAACGTATAAGAAAACAACCCCTTGTGAATTTGTGGTATATGCTCATCAATAAAACCTTTTTTTAGTTGTGTAACCATAAACTTACCATCAAACAGATTTCACTACTCATAACCTGAAATATATCTAAGCATAAAACTTTCACTAATTGCTAATATTCATACAAAGACGAAAACTGAAACAAAATATGACTTTGTTCACTAAAATATACATGTCTCATTTTTCATGAATTAATACAAATCTATTTTTATTGGAAGAGTATGTGCATGATAAAATTTAAAGGAGTATGTGCATGATTAAATGATTCAACAAAATTCTATAAATAAGATCAGCAGCTGGTATTTAAAGGAGTTGAATTATCAGATTGACAAATGATCAAACACTTTCAAGGTGACTTGATTAAAAAATGAAGAGATTAATGAAATAAATATGAAGAAAATATAAAGAATCTATGATGAAATTCAGATGTACCAAGTACCTTGAGGAAGATGATGAGATTCTAACTATAATGATGGCTTCAGCAATGGCTCTTCTGCCCCCCCTTTTCCAAGAAGCTCTTGGCCATTTATGTATTTAATATGGATTTGCCACTGTAAAAAAATTCTTCGGGACAATAACATCAATGTCACTCCACCAAAAAAATTGATTAGGGTTTACATCAATAAAGATAAATCTGAACTTATATTCAACAATAATGAGCTAATTTCGGATTTGCGTACAAATGAAAAGTGTAAATGTGAAGAGCTTTCCTCAATGAGTGTGTAGAGAAGAGGCGTTAAAGAGCTATCCATATTTCCTGCTGTATTTCTTGCAAGAAGAAATGAAACCATAAGAAACTTTTAAAATTTTTAAGCACAAAATACTAAAAAAGATAAAAGCAAGAATGAACATTTGAAGAATAAAAAACAAAAAATCACATTAAGATTTTAACCAAAAACAGGGGGGGGGGGGGGGNNNNATCCAAATCTTATATTAAGTCCACCAATCTGGAAAATCATTTGTTTTCCAGAAAAACTAATAAAAAACACAAAAAACATTCCGGTATTTGATCGAGCAGCTCCTCTGCTAGTATGTATGTGGTTGACTTTCACAACCCAGACCTCCCAAAATCTTTCATTTTGGTTCTTAAGATTTATTTTTTAAAGTTTATATATGAACTTGTAGACATAGTTATCAAGGCGTCACCTAGGCGTCCTAGCGGTCAGCTCCTCTCGCCTTGGTGTATCGCCTCGCCTTATTTTGCATCCCTTGCCTCTCCTAGGCCTCCCCTTGGTAGGCATTGCCTTTTGAAAATTCTTATGCCTTTTAGTCAGTGACTTTTTTCATACTCAATATTTACTTTGCACTATGAAGTCATACATTGTGTTTTAATCATATTTCTTATTTCATTTTTTTCATATTATGGTGTGTTTATATTTTTTGTGTATTTGAAATTTTGATTAGGTTTAGAAAAGACATGTGTTTATATTTAAATTAGTGTTCCTTAGTGTTACTAATGTATACCAATCCTGATTTCTTATGTGTCGCCGCCTAGGTTGCCTAGGAGGTCGACTAATTGTTTGTCGTCTAGGAGGTCGCCTAGTCGTCGAGGTGTCATGGTGGTAGACTGGCGCTGCGCCTCGCCTTGGCGCCATGATAACTAGACTTGTAGAACCTGATTTCATTAATTACATACAAATAACCACATTTACTCAACATATATGAAACTTAAATGCATTTCACTCAAATAAAACTCCACCAAACAGGCTCATTACTCTTCTCAAGATCCACTGAGCTATATTCGGTTAGGATAAGTTTAAGGTTTACTACTATGAAGGTAAAATAGACAGGAAATTTTAGCTTTTAATTCGTAAAAATGAATTACAATTTAAATAGATTGTAGTGACAAAGATGTACCATGTGAGAAATGACCGCTTGCTGGCCACCACTGTCCATGGCCTCCTCTTATTGCATTACCTTCGCCAGAGCCACCATACCCACCACCAGTGCTAGAAATTGCCTTGGAAACACCAGAGGCCTGGAAAAGATTCAAGTTGGACTCAAAATTGCCCTGCCTTTTCAACACCAAAATTTCTAAGACTATAATGAGAAACTGGAATAGCTGTTACCGGTATTCAAACAATCAAACAATGGATGTGCTAGGGTTGAAACCCTAGACCAGCGCTGACATCTGTTCTCTCTCTGCATCGTTACCCCCCTTCTCTTTGTGTCGTCACCTTTCCAACGCTAAGGGTTTCTACCCAGGGCTCAGAATGCTATGGAGAAGAAAAATTAGGTGGCTGAGATCGTAACTTTCCATCTGAAATGAAGAGGGAAGAACAATGGTCAATTTTGACGGAATTGTGTGGTGAGCACTGAGCATCGGTGAGTATAGAGGAATAGATAAGAAGATGGGCGGTTAAAAATAGAAGTTGTGGATGGATTGGAGAGAGTGAAGCATGCGTAACTGATGATGATGTGGGTTGGTGGTGGCAACTGGCATGAGATAACCGCATAATAATTAATCAACCACCTAACCCAACAAGCCACCCGGAACCTGGCCTATTTACAACTGAAACTTTGGGCAGGAAATAAATCATCTTGCTTTTGTAAAGAGGTAGATTTTAATGCAAATATGTAAAGCTATATAATCACAAAATACTGTTTCATGTTTTGAGTCACCACGTTTTTGCAGCAATTAAATAGCAAAAAAATCAGCCTCTTTTGCACACTGTTTTTGAGTTAAAGTTCCTATTTTGCAAAGTTGCAAACTAAGTCATCTTCTTACTCTCAATAATTTCTGTCTACATTCGAGATATAAATTCTATATGGAGTGTATTTTATGAATGGATTATAATGCATTATGCATGTGATGTAACAGACAGTTATAGGTGATCTTGCTTCTATCTCAGATAAAAAGGTAGTCACTGGGTTCTTCTCGAGTACCATGCGAAAGCTCTTGAAGGTAACACAAGAGGCTAGTAAAATAGAGTGCTCCAAAGATTCTAACGCAATGCAGGTGGATAGTTCTTCTGGTAAAGTTTCATTGCCACTAATGAGGTAAGATTTATACTAAGCCCTCTAAACTTTTCCTCATTTTATAAACTGTCTGGAACTCCTGCATTCCATGATTCTAAACCAAAGTGTTTCAAATGAAGTATACTAGCTAGTACTCGAGTAATCATTGAACAATCCTTATAATACATTATGTAGGGCTCAGCTATTTGATCTGGCAGTTTCATTGTTGCCTGGATTAGATTCCAAGGAAATTGATCTATTGTTCAACGTAATAGAGTCTGCATTGAAGGTTAGTTATTTGTCTCTTATTGTACTTTAGCACTTTGCTTAAGTGTGTAGTGTTAACACTTAACACTAAATTTCATACCACTTGCCTACCATAGATGGGATCAACATGCAGGATGAATGGATGATGTTGAATTGAATTCCGTTTCTCTTACTTTTTGCGTTTCAGGATGATGAGGGATTAGTCCAGAAAAGGGCATATAAAGTTCTTTCGATCATGCTTCAAGTAAAATTTCCTGCTTATATTGTCGCACAGAGTTTTACACATTTGTGTATTTCACTATATCTTACATTTGTTATGTGATGTTTACACATTGGATTGTGTTTTTAGTTAGGAGTAGTGATCATATCTTAGCTAAAAAACGTGTCCTACAGTCTCTAATTGAAATACTTATGAACCACACATTTTCTAGAACAGAGTATTGCGAAATACCAAATCTACTCTCTCCCTCAAGATTAGTGATCTACCTCTATATTCAATAAAATATTATGGTGAATTGTATAAAGTATGCATGAAACAGGTATGATCATTGTTGACATGAGGGAGTGACAAATTCATTTGAAGGACTTATTAGACATTTAAAACTAAATTTTAAAAATGAGATTTTTTTTAGAAAGTGAACAACTAAATTCAGATGGAGGGAGTTAGTGGACTCTTTAAACTGTTGCCGAACCATGGTAGCATGTTTTTTTAAATGCCACTCCAATATTCTTGAACCACATGTTTCATAATTGTTCAAAAAAGATGAGTACTCTACTACCCCAAAACTCTGCCCTGCCTTAAATAACAAAAAAATAATTTCAGTAAGGATACGTATTGTCGCAAAACTTTTAAATACCTTCATTTTATTATTACTAATAGTAATTTTCATGGATGAATAATAACAATATTTTACTACTACATATTCGTATTATTATTCTTATCATCATCATCATGGAGTTTCGTCCTTTGCCAATGAAGCTAAAACAGTCACTATTGACAATGTTTTAGTGTTGGGCACATAATGGACTAAATCCAAATGGAATATTAAACTTCTTTTGTTTCTTGCTTTCCATAGAGTTTTGGGCAATGGATGCATCCATGTGTCTAGGGTCTAATGGAAACAGTCTCTTTGTTTTTACAGGGGTAAGACTGTACATCTTGACCCTCATACCCCAACAGAGTTGGGATTGTACATTTTGTACCAGATTGTTTTACTATCATGGAGTAACAAACTTTATGGATCTTTATGAATAGAAATCTGATGAGTTTACCTCAAGGAAGCTTGAGGAGTTGCTAAATGCTATGGTCGGAGCACTGCCAGCATGCCATTTTTCAGCCAAGCGTCACAGACTTGACTGCTTATATTTCTTGATTGTCCATGTATCCAAGGTGAAGAATAATGCGGCTATCCGGTCTATGTACTTGTATCATTTTCTTTGATGCTTTCCAAATGTTCTAACCCTGCATAGCGTGGGATAATGCTCAGGATAACTTTGAACAGAGGAGACGTGAAGTTGTTGCTTCTTTTTTGACAGAAATTCTACTTGCCCTCAAAGAGGTGTAGTCTCTGTTTTTCACAGTTTATATTGTGTTACATATTATAAATCTATCTTTTTTTGTATCCTCATATGTGCCTAACATGGGCTATATCTTCGTGATAATAATTGCCATTTGTTCCATGCCTTTAGGCTAACAAAAGGACAAGGAATAGGGCATACGATATCCTCGTCCAGATTGGCCATGCTTGTGTGGATGAAGAGAGAGGTGGGAAAAAGGAGCATTTACAGCAGTTTTTTATCATGGTATACCTTGTAGGGTATTTGTTGTGCATGAGTCCTTTTACGTCTTTATTAAGTGTCCGCACTGAAAAAAATATGTTTTATATTCTCAACTTACAAAGTAGCTTAAACTTGGTATTTTGTGGTAGGTTGCTGGCGGCCTTGCTGGGGAGACACCACACATGATTAGCGCGGCAACAAAAGGTTTAGCTCGGTTGGCCTACGAATTCACGGATCTTGTTGTGGCTTCATTCAATGTCCTTCCATCTGCATTTCTCCTTCTTAGGAAAAAGAATAAGGAAATAATTAAGGTGGGTTGAAGTTGTCTGGTTTTATTTGTGTATTTTTTTCAGTTCAGTAGTTTTATCCACAAATGGTACCCCATCATACTGCTCTTAACTGTTTCACAAATGCAGGCTAATTTAGGTCTCTTGAAGGTATTAGTAGCCAAATCACAAGCTGAAGGATTGCACTCTCATTTAAGAGGCATGGTGGAAGGCCTAATGAGCTGGCAAGACAGTACTAAAAGCCATTTTAAAGCTAAGGTCTGCGGCCCTTCTTGTAATGTGTGTAATTTTCAATTCAGGAACCTCATCGGACTTGTATATGTGAGCATTTGCTGAATACTATTTTTAGGTTAAGCTGCTACTTGAAATGCTCATCAAGAAGTGCGGCTTTGATGCTGTTAAGGCAGTAATGCCAGAGGAGCACATGAAGCTTCTCACCAACATAAGAAAGGTTAGGAATGTTTCACCTTAAGTACAATGATACTTTTGGGAGATATGATTCATGTATATTAAGTTGCTTCTTCTGAAAGCACAGATTAAGGACAGGAGAGAAAGGAAGTTCGATGGGGGTTCTGATGAAAGTAGATCTCATATATCAAAAGCAACCACCTCCAGGTTTTTCCCTATCCTATATATCTAAAATTTTCCAAGGCATTTAGAGTGCTTTAATAAGTAATAACCAAGCACGTTTGTTGCCCAAAAGGTTTTTAAGTACCCATCCTTGTTTCAGGCTTAGTAGATGGAATCATACAAAAGTGTTTTCGGATTTTGGCGTTGATAGTGAGGGAGAGTCTGCGGGTGTGAACAGTTTTTCTGGTCGACGAGGTCGGGCCACATCAATGCAGAGGTCAGAGGCATGTTCATCACGGTGGGTTTGAGTTTTTTTGTATTGATAATTGGAAAATTCAAGATATAAAAGAAAAGAGTAAAGTCACGAGAAACGTTGTTCAAAAATTTCAGCTCAAAGAAAACACGTAGAGCATCCAAGAGTTTGCAAGAGGATTTGTTTGATCAGGAAGATGACGAGCCGCTTGACTTGCTGGATCAACAGAAGACAAGGTTTGCTCTTAGATCATGTGGGACCCGCAAGCGGAAGCCAGAGTCCGATGATGAAGAGATGGAGATAGACGCAGAGGGTCATCTCATCATCCGCGACGAAGATTTCAAGCCAAAGAAGAAGAAGCCCTCACTCTCCGACACAGAGGCGGAGGCGGCGGATGGTGGTGCGAGGAGTGAAGCGGGGTCCTCTAGGAAAACACAGAAGCGCAGAAAAACAACAGACTCTGGGTGGGCCTACACGGGAAGCGAGTACGCGAGCAAGAAGGCAGGTGGTGACACATCACGCAAGGGGAAACTCGAGCCGTATGCGTACTGGCCTCTTGACCGCAAGATGATTAGCCGCCGGCCTGAGCACCGGGCATCTGCAAGGAAAGGTATGTCAAGTGTGGTGAAGATGACAAAGAGTTTGGAGGGGAAGAGTGTTGCAGCTGCACTCTCAATCAAAGGCCCCAAATTGGGCAAGAGGAAAGGGTCAAAGAGAAGAGCTAAATGAGGTGATTTAGTACTTTCTTTATTTATATGCCTTCCTGCCAAGTATATTTAGGCATTGGAGTGATGGAGTCCTAGGATGAGGACGTGCCCCACAGTTTGTCTTTTCCCCCCCCATATAATATGTGCTGTTGTGTCCTTTTTCTCATGCGGAAAACAATTGGTCCATATATGGGGGCTTTAGAATAACTTTATAAAGATTTTGGCGAGATTCAATTAGTGATGTAAAAAATGATATACTGCCATTTTATGGGGGCTTTAGAATAACTTTATAAAAATTTTGGACTTAAAAAAAAAGATTTTGGAATTTTTTTCGTGACATACGAATTCACAACTGAACATTTTTGGCTGGATGTATTCATTTGGATTGGTTTTTTTGCCAAATATGACAAATATTAATCATTAATTAGCTAAAAATTACTCCCTCCGTCTCAGAGTATTTGTTCACTTTCATTTTTACACACCATTCAATGCAATTCTTTAATCCATTTTATCTTGTAATTTGTATATTAAAAAATTATAGAAATTACTACCTCCGTCCCGCTATATTCGTCCACTTTTGACTTTTGGAACTGTTCATCTAAGCACTTTGACTCATCAAATTCTCTCAATGTTTAAGCCTAAATATAGTCATGTGTGATTTTGTTTGATTTGTCTTAACATATAGATTATTAATACTCCCTCCGTCCCCTTAAGATGTTCTCATTTTGACTTTTGGTGGTTTTTAAGGAGAGTTGAAAAAAGGTGAAAGTTTACCATAATACCCTTAATGAAAAATGGGTGGAGTGTATTAAATGAGGTGGGTGAGGTGTAATAAATAAAGTAAGTGGGGGTAGTTGTGGTATTTTAATTGTTAAAAAATGAAATGAGAAGATCTATATTGGACAAAGAAAAAGGGCTATTGGGAAGATCTATGTGGGACGGAGGGAGTATATAATTTCTATAATTTTTTAATATACAAATTACAAGATAAAATGAATAAAGAAGTGCATTGGATGGTGTGTAAAAATGAAAGTGGACAAATACTCTGGGACAGAGGGAGTATATATTAATAATCTATATGTATATGTAAAGACAAATCAAACAAGATCACACATGACTATATTTAGGTTTACACATTGAGAGAATTTGATGAGTCAAAGTGCTTATATGAACAGTTTCAAAAATCAAAAGTTGACAAAAACTGGGTGACGGAGGGAGTACATGACATTAATATAATTAAATAATTTGTTAAAATTATTCTGAAGGTAGATCTAATGAGATTTATTTGTGTTAATATGTTATACGGAGCAATATAATTTTTTATTTTATGGATGATTGAAGTTGAGAAATGCTAGGGTCACAAATACTTTAGTTACAAGCTAGATTTATAAATTTTTAATGTGTATTTAATTTTTATTTTTTAATCATTTAAAATATTTTTTTCACTTGGTGAGATGCATAAATGGTAGCGTAATTTACATAAATAGGACTAAAATATACTCCCTCCGTCCCTCATAGATTTTACCAATAGCCCTTTTTCTTTGTCCACAATAGATCTTCTCATTTCACTTTTTAATAATTAAAATACCACAACTACCCCCACTTACTTTATTTATTACACCTCACCTACCTCATTTAATACACTCCACCCATTTTCATTAAGGGTATTATAGTAAACTTTCACCTTTTTTCAACTCTCTTAAAAATCACCAAAAGTCAAAATGAGAACATCTTAGGGGGACGGAGGAGTAATGATTTTCTCAATATAAAATCATATGTTTTTATTTTCCAAGGACTTTTGGTCATTATCTATTAGTCATTATTCAACTAAATGTTCAGCATCACTTGTACATTATTCTTTTCACTAGTCATTATTAAATTCTATTTAGAAAATAAAAAAATTTAAGTTCTACATCAGCAAATGACTTATGTTTTAGTCCTGGTAAGCTTATGTTGCTTGTGATAAAAACGTTTTTGACTTGAGCATTTCTCATTCGAAGTGAGTTCAAGGAGAAAAAAGTAATCAAGCAAGAAGAAAAACAATTTTTTTGTTTAAGTAGAAAAAGTTCAGAAACGTAATGAGTATTAACCAATTTGTCATTATTAGCAATTACTGTTTTCATCTTTCAAATAGCTTTACACTTGTTTTTGAAACGTTTAAAAATAACTTTAGACTACAGTTTTCTTTTAGGAAACAAATATGTGGACATTATTCTCTTTTAAATAAATTTCAACATATATTTTTCACTTTTTTTTTAACTTCTCAACAATTTTTTTAACCTTTATTCGAAATAAAGATTGTGAGTTTCTTTTTTTTAATGTTCTTTTCTTTTCATTAATACTTTTCTTTCATTTTTAAATCCTCCAACCAAACATTATATAAGAATTTTTTAGCGTAAATTTACTAAATTACTACTCAAATGATATTCAATTGTGACCCAAGCGGATACATAAAGTTGGAATGAAGAAACAAAGAACAAAACTTATAGGGAGTAGAACCAAATTTTTTAAGGATCCGTTTGGTATATGGAATTAATGGAGTTGAAATTGAAATTTTATGAGGTTCAATTCCATATAATTGAATTCACCAATTCCAGTTCATTTTTTTGCACGGTCAATTCTAAATCTAATTACGGAGTAATTTTTGTGCTACCAAACACCAAAATTGGAATTGAAGTCCCAAATTCTAATTCCATATTTTGGTGCTACCAAACACCAAAATATGGAATTAATGGAGTTGGAATTGAAATTTTATGAGGTTCAATTCCATATAATTGAATTCACCAATTCCAGTTCATTTTTTTGCACGGTCAGTTCTAAATCTAATTACGGAGTAATTTTTGTGCTACCAAACACCAAAATTGGAATTGAAGTCCCAAATTCTAATTCCATAATTTGAATTTTCTGTACCAAACGGGGCCTAAGAACAATTTTCTCAAACAAAAGAAATCTTAGGTACTCAATCACATCACATTAAATTGGAATGTTTAACTATGATTGGAACAAAAATGTATACAAATTGTATATCACCTCTTCCTCTACCACATATTTCTAAAATAAGAATATGAGAGAGTGGATAAGAAATAAATATATCGGGAAACTAGTATACAAATTGAGACAAAACTTACTACCTAATATACCCTTGTATTATTTGACTCACAAATATATATGGTTCTCTTGTACCTAGCTCTAAATAAATTTCAGCTAGGACGTCTTTATTTTTATTCCTCCCGGCAAAAAAAACGAGACCAGATTCAGAATTGAATGATTGCCCATTGATTCTCTACAAGAAAAAGAGAATGAATTGCTTCAAAAATTCCAGAGAAAAGAGCCATGTGAAGAAGAGAACCCATCGTATTGGTCGTCGATGTATTCGCTGGTTTGCGGGGCATAATAGTCATTTGCAAATTCATCGAATCCCGGAAAGTACCCGAAGCTCTCCTCGGCAACAACCCCGTCGCTATTGTGGTCGTTCCAAGGAGCTTCCGGGGAGGAGGCACCGCGGAGAAACTCGCCGCCTAAGGGCATTTCGGTCATTTCACCTTCCACTCCGTGCCCGTCGTGAGAAGACCACGGCGGGGACGGATCGGACCCGATAACCGTGGAATCCGATTCGGCGTAACGGGCGGCGGCGACCTTGATCTCGTGGATTGAGAACGATTCTCCGCCGGGGATGTCGGGAGGGGTGTCGGGGAAGTTGAAGTGAGCATTGCGGCCGCGCAGGCAGAAGAGGGCGGCGTCGAATGCCCGGGCGGCCTTCTCCGGCGAGTCGAAGGAGCCGAGCCAAATGCGTTCCCGGCTATTGGGGCGGCGAATCTCCGACACCCATTTCCCCCAGTTCCTCTTCCTCACGCCCCTGTAGTTGGTATTGCCGGAGGAAGGGGAAACGGTGCCGTTCGGGTCGTTTTCCGGCCTCTCCATTTTCAAGTTGGTCGGGAAGAGATCCTCAAGGGGGCGGGGAATATGAATTTGAATTGAATATGCAGGAATTGTGGAGTGAGAGTGGGAAAATGGCGGCTGAGGGTATATATAGGGGGAGTAGGGAGGGGGGGAGTGAAGAAGGGAACGTGGAAGGGGGAGTGGGAGGGTCAACCAGGCCGTGTTTGGACTTCGGAAGACGCGGCGGAATTATTCGGTGTTAGGAGCACCCAGCACGTGCCACTTTACTCTGTTTTTATTTTGAGGAGCCACGAAAATATGCTCTCTTTTCACAAATTTTGACTCCAAAGTCAAAATCAACTTGTGGGGTGCAATTGAAGGGGATAGAGGATGTGTTCGGATCGGGCCGGGTGGGTGATTTTACCGGGGATTTAGGTGGGGTAGGAACCGTCAATTTTACGCCCCTGGGTCATCCCATGACATTGTCAACAAATTTCTATATACCAAAAATAGATTCCGAAAGAGAAATGTTAGAGTCTCCAACAGAATTGTCACAAAGTTCACAAATTTGCCGTATTTGAAGTTAAGTTTTCACTTTTTAATTTATTTAAGATCATTTAGATTTTTTTAAAAGTCTCCATATAATATATTTGTGAAATTTGTGACTATTCTATTTGACATTTTAGCATTTAGAAATCATCCTAAATAGGACTAAAACATAGAAAAAAGTATCAAAATAGGACTTTCATGTTTTTTTTCCCGGAATAGGACTTTGCATTGTGGTAATGTGACTTTGCATTGTGGTAATGTGGCAGTGTACATGTGCAAATTACTATACTTTTTTGGTAATGTATATGACCATGTTTGGTAATGTAAGTCTTATTTCAGGAATAAAAACATAGAAGTCCTATTTTGGTATATTTTCAATGTTTTAGTCCTAGTTTGGTCTTTCTCCCATTAGCATTTTTATTAGGTAGATAAATGTATAAATAGTACTCCCTCCGTCTCCCATATATCATCCCAATTACCCTTTGGCCATAATAGATCTTCTCATTTCATTTTTTAACAATTAAAATACCACAACTACCCCCACTTACAATATTTATTACACATTACTCACCTCATTTAATATACTCCATCCATTTTCATTAAGGGTATTATGTTAAACTTTCACTTTTTTTCAACTCTCCTTAAAAACTGCAAAAAGTCAAAATGAGAAGATCTTAAGTAGACGGAGGGAGTAATATATTGTTATAGAGTCGATAAAATGTAAAGAAATATATATATACGGAGTTCAAGTTCGTGCAAAACATAGCTCTAAGTAGTAGTAAAAAAATAGGGTTGAAACTTAAAGAGAGAAAGACCAAAGTAGGACTAAAACATTGAAACTATACAAAAGTAGGACTTCCATATTTTTATTCCCAAAATAGGATTTAAAATTCATTTACATAACCAAACATGGACATGTATATTACCAAAAAGTATTGTAATGTGCACATATAAAGTGCCACGTTACAACTAAATTACCACAGTGTGAAGTCCTATTTCAGAAAAAAACATGAAAGTCCTATTTTGGTACATTTCTCTATGTTTTAATCCAATTTAAGGTGATTTCTAAAACTTGAAAGAACAAAATATTTAGGATTTTATTTAAATTTCCGTACGTACGTGACTCCTAGCCCGTTTAAGGATGAATTTGATATAAAATTAAATGATAAAGCTATTTGTAGCCCAAGAGTTTGTATCCCATTTGTACACGGCAAGTGTGCCCCAACATTTTATGTTGGTGTAATGCTAATATTTATTTACGCACCAACACTTTGTGTCAATGTAATTTTTTGTTAACGCACCAACACTTTGAGTTAGTGTGAACCATCAAAATCTTGGTGTATACCTTTGGTATAAGTTTGGGAACAAATTTTAGTGTAAGTGTAGCATGGTTCAATATTAAACTCAAAGCCATCCAATGTAATTTCTCACACGGCTTGAGACGGGCCAAACATGGCGTAGAGACTTGAGGTAAATTTTTGTCGATTCTAATAATTTTATACGGTGTGATATTTTTACCGATTTTAAGAAATGGTAAAATATGTTTATAGCTCTATTGAAATAATTTATAAATTCTAAAAAGATTAAAGTGTACACATTGTATTTAGATTTGAGGATGATTATTTGAAAAAATAATAGTTTTACATAATGCAAGTTTTGTTTGGTCCCTATAAAATATTTTTTGTTCAAGTCATCATTACAAAAGTTTTTTATTTTAAAAATGGTCTTTATACCTAATTAAGACTTTCAATTTGTTGACATAACACATTTATTTTGTATTCAACAACTTAGTTTTGCATGGCTAATTATTTTAGACACAATTCTCATGCCATGAATTGTATTCTCTTTAAAATTTTATCACCAATTCCCAAATTTTTATTATATTATATTTCCAAGAAATTTGAAAATTGGATATATAATACTCCCTCCGTCCCAAAAAGTTTGTTACGTTTAGAAAAAACTGCGTCCCTTAAATTCCATAACATTTCTATTAAAAAACCACTTTTACCCCTTACTTTTTCATACCCTACCTATCACATCATACCTTTTTGCTAATAATCTACCCATCACATCAAGGGTATTTTTGGAAAGTCAATACCAAAATATCCCTCCCTTAATTTCCCAAAAAGTCCCTTCCCAAAAAGTCAAACCGTCCCATTCTTTTTGGGACGGAGGGAGTATATAACTTTTCAACCCGCGTAACTCGAACCAGCGCGTTAGCAAATCAACTTGCTTCTAATTTGGTATATATGGGGGGAAGGGGTATAAAAAAAATTCTACCAAAATTCGAATTTTGTTATGAGATCTAATATATTTACACAATGCTATTAATATTATTTTAATAATTTATTTCAACATGTAATTTAATTTATTCTCCACACATAGCAATTAGTTTATTTTATTTTATTACTATTAAAAGTGAATTATTTATCCATTGATAAGTTTATTCTTATCCATATACATCTTAATAATTGTTTTTCACTATTTAAGTGATTTTACTTCATCACTTGGCATGTAGAATATTTTTTTCTCATTGTAGATAAATTTTAATCAAGAATAAGTTTCATGTTTTCAATGACAAAAATATGGGAAAAAACATTGGGAATGTGTCAAAATAGGAGCTCCATGTTTTCAATACTAAAAATGGGAATGAAATGCTAATAATGTCAATATATAGTATCAAGAACAGAGTAGAATACAATTATACAGTGTCATAGGATGACAGTGCAAATCCTTATTTTGGAGATAAAATCATAAAACCCTTATTTTGACGATAACCATTATGTTCTACTCCTCCTTTGAGGGTTTTCTTGTGTTTAATAGAGAAATTAATTGCTTTATAAGTCTCAATAGTATATAAGGAATTTTCCTAACATACCATTGGGATAAATAGATAATGATTAAACGATGTGATACAAATTATTTGTATAAAGATATATACAAATTTTATTACAAGTATTTTCAATATTAAAACTAAAACTTGTATTTATATTTTATTCTTAGAAAATATTTATCAAACACATCATATATCACTATTATAAAATTAAAAAAACAATAATTTATTTAATAGACATCAAAATTTAGAATATATACGAGTTTCTGCGGGAGAGAGACCAAAGTAGGACTAAAACATTGAAGATATGCCAAAATAGGACTTCCATGTTTTTTCCCGAAATAGGACTTACATTAACAAAAATGGTCATATACATGACCAAAAACGTATAGTAATGTGCACATGTACGCTGTCATATTACCACAATGCAAAGTCACATTACAACAGTGCAAAGTCCTATTTCGGGAAAAAAACATGAAAGTTCTATTTTGGTATTTTTCTCTATGTTTTAGTCCTATTTAGGGTGATTTCTATTAATACTAGTGATGAATTAATTGACGAAATACCATGAGGGAGTGATACTTGCGGAGTTTATCATTGTAAACTTACTCCGAAATTTAGACTAAAGATGGATTGATAATAAAGGTCATACCAAGACGAGGTGATACTTGAATTGGGGAATTTATAATTATTGACTCTAATTTTACATAGGATTAGGTACGTAGTATTATTTAATAATATACCTATAAAGGCACATACATATACCAATAATCCAATTACATATTCTGAATATATATATAGAGGTCTACGTCATTGTGATATTGATTAATAGATACTGATCTCGCATTCCCATTTGTACATAATACATAAATAAAATACTAATGGCTTCGTATAGCGGCGGCGGCTATGTGTGTGTGCGTGGAGTAGCAGGGCTCGTTAATGTAATTAGTTTAGTATTACTCATCAATGTTGCAACCAATGCTAATGCTGATGATGTGTGGTTAAGTGGAGCTCATGCCACCTTCTATGGATCACCCCCCGATACACCCGACAACATGGGTAATTATACCACCTCCGTAAATTTTTTGTAAATACAACATATTTGTATTTTATTGCGAGTCGAACTTAATTTGTAGGTACTTTAGACATTTATGATGGTGTAGACACGTTTTGTGGGATGTGTAAAAGGTTAATATGGAATTACTTTTTGAAATGGAGAGAGTATTAATTACGTACTCTTCTTTTATACACCATTTGTCCATTAAGTTCTCTCTGAGTTCTACTATGATTTCTCGATAATTTATGTTTATATCCACCTTTTTACTGATTATTTGATAAATTGGTGAGAGTATTTCTTGTTATATATACATATTTTTTAGAACTTTTGATGTTGTTTTGAACAATGTAATTTTTACCTTTTGCTTTTTTACTAATTTATAAATAAAA